TTCATTCTATCTTTCTTTTTTGTTTCTCACTTCCTCTCCTTTCTTTCCATTCACCCCTCTTCTCTTTCTCCTCTCTCATTGCTTTCATCCTCTCCTCTCTCTTCTCCCTCTCTCTTTCACCCTCCTCTCCCTCTTTCCTTTCTTCCTCTCCCCTCTCCTCTCTCTCTACTTTCATCCTCCTCTCTCTCATTTCCTCTCCTCTTTCTTCACTTTCCTTCCCCCTCCCTCTCCTCTCCTCTCTCTTCTCTGTTGCTCCTTTCATTCCCCCTCTTTCTCCTCTCCCTACCTCTCTCTCCCCTTTCACCCTCAGCTCATCTCCATCTTTTTCTTTTCTTCCTCTCTCACCTCTCTCTCCTTTTCCCTTTCTCCTCTCTAATTGCTTTCACACCCCTCTTTCTCTTCTCCTCTCTCTCTTTTTCCTTCCTCCCTCTCTCCTCTCCTCTTTCTTCCCTCCCTGCCTCTCTTTCTCCTCTCTCTCTACTTTCAACCCCTCTCTTTCTGCCCTTTTTCTATCTCTCCTTCCTAATCTCTCTCCTTCACCTCTCCCTATCGCTCTCTCTCTCTCTCTCTCTCTCTCTCTCTCTCTCCCCTATTGCTCTCTCTCCTCACACACACACTCACCTCTCTATCACTTTCTCCTTTCTTTTTCTCTACCCTTCTATTCCTCTCATTTATTTCACTGCTCCTCCCTCTCTCTACCCCTCCCTCCATCTCTTCTCTTTCTCTCTCTCTTCTCTCCCCTTCTCTCTCTCTCTCCCTTCTCTCTCTCTCTCTCTCTCTCTCTCTCTCTCTCTCTCTCTCCCCCCCCCCTCTCTCTCCCCCCCATCCCCCCTTCTCTCTCTCTCTCTCTCCCCTTCTCTCTCTCTCTCTCTCCCCTTCTCTCTCTCTCTCTCTCCCCTTCTCTCTCTCTCTTATATTTTCTTGTAATTGTTACAAATGATCTCTATAAGCTCATCGGAACATTTTATATTTTGCTTTGTCGGCCTCCCCGATCTTTGTTGATATTGATCACATTGTCGGGGGAGATGAAGGTTTTGTAGGATCAATAATAAAATAATCAATACGACATTTGGACAGAAGTTTGGCCGGAGTTCCTCTTCAGGTTTATTCTGCATTACAGTGGCCGGGCTCATTCTGCTCGGGATCAATGGCAGGGATGGATTGCTCTTCGGCCTCTGTGCTGAGAACCCCCCAAATATTTGGAGTCCACAAAGAAAGGAGACAATAAAAAATAAATAATTTCCAGAAAATCCTTTTAGCTCCGCCTCCCTCATAAGCCTTCTGTGTCCATTGTACTGCGTGCTTCAATACACAGTGTACCGGACATCGTTATCTCTGTAACCCCGAATGAGGAAAACAATGTATGACATCCTCTATGAAGAGCCTCTGACCTCCAGCAAAGGGCCAGACCTTATATCTGACCTCCGTCCCTCCCTTCAGTCTTCTATCTGACCTCCGTCCTTCCCTTCAGTCTTCTCTCTGACCTTCGTCCTTCCCTTCAGTCTCCTATCTGACCTCCGTCCTTCCCTTCAGTCTTCT